CTTGATAGTACCAGGTTCGAAAGTTTAGGCAACAGCTGTGAAGATAGTGAGATTCATTATGACACCCATTCTCATTGACTATTATCTACTTTTGAACACCTATAATGTCTCCAATGTTTTGGTTCTGTCGGTTTTGTTCTTTACTGTTTTGTTCAATTTTATTATAACTGATGATATAAGCAATTCTACTAGAGATAGTGGGAGACATTATGGTAACCATTGTTGATCACCTTGTATTATGCTTTTACATTATCTATTATGTCCACCCTTTTGATTTGATTGACTCTGTTCTGTTATGTCACATTTGGTTCTACTCCCTTCCAAAAAAAAAGTAATAAGAACTGTGGGAGCAACAAAACCCAAAATGTGTAATTGTCATTGTACAAAAGAGAGGAAAAGAAAGTGCTCTAAATGATATAACTGCATGTATATTTAAAGGTATAAGATAGATAATGATATCACTAAGTTTTGTTGGATCATTGAACAGAACTGTTTGCAGTCTCACTGTTGGAATGTCCACTTTACAAGCTTTAATTTTGTGACTTGAACAATTATTTCTAAGATGACAATATGTAATCTATTAACTAGTGATTTCCTACTATTTTTTTCTATAAATCTGTATAACTTGTACCCTTTCTCTGCTTTTTTTTTCTCCCTAAATAAAATTTTTAAAAAATTTTAAAAAAAGAATAAAAAATGTGAATGAAGAAGCAGGGGTAAACACAAAGCAAATACAGACTATTCAAATAAATAATTAAGAAAAACTTCCCAAGCATAGGAAAAGGAAATGATATTCAGATGTATGAGGCATGCAGAACTCCAGCAATCTACAACCAAAATAGAGTTACACACAGACATATCATAATCAAGATCCCAGAAATTCCTCACAAGTACCCAACATTGAAAGCTGTCAGAGAAAAGAAACGATCACCTCTAAAGGAAAACCCGTCAAAATCATGACAGACTTCTTGACACAAACCATCAAATCAAAAAGAGCTTGGAGTGAACTATTCCAAGCCTTGAAAGAAAATAACCTCCAACCCAGACTGATATTGCCTACAAAACTGTCTCTCAAAATTAATGGAGAAACAAGATGCTTCCATGACAAAGAGGAACTGGGAGAGTTTGTGATCATCAATCCAACCCTACAAAAAATACTGAAGGACATTCTAGAGAGGGAGGAAAAAAAACCCAGGATTTCAGGAACAGTGGCAGAGAGGCCTCAATGAATGGGGCAGACAATGGAATGAAGGAGAAAAGTAGACAACCAATAGCAGAAAAATAGCATAGCAGAAATGAGGCAGAGAAGGTTGGCTATAATCTCTAACATAGATGGCCTTGATACACTAACAAAAAGAAACACAGGCAGAGTAGATCAGGAGATAGGGTCCATCAAGATGCTCTGTGTATGTTGGTGGGAGTGTAGACTGGTATAACCTTTGTGGAGGTGAGTGTGGAGATTTCTCAGAAAGCTGGGATTGGAAGTCCCATATGTTCCAGCTATTCCACTTCTAGGCATATTACCAGAACTGAAAGCATCATACCACAGTGATATATGTGCACCTATGTTTATAGCTGCACAAAGATATGAAAAGCTATAATCTGGAAAGTGAGCTCCCACTACTCAAGCTGCCAGGCAGCTGTTTTCTCAGGAAAACAGCCTCCCATAGATCACATAATCTGGGCCTGTTTGATTCTACAATTTGTGTCCTGCTTGGGCAGGACTGACTGTCGTCTCACTCAGTTTGAGTCTGCATGGGAACTCACTAATATTACTTCTGGGTCATCAGGACAGACCAAGGATGTTCTGGATGGAGGTGTTATCTCAGCATTCTTTTCTGTCTTGGCATTTCCCCATGCTCACATCAGTGACCTGTCTGTCTGTGCTCTTGAAATATTGCAGGTGATGGTTCAGTTTTCCAAGTCTTGGTTACCTAACATGGTACAATTGAACCACTGTTGGCTCTTCTTGAAGTTCCTTGTATGTCATCATTAGAAGGTGGTTACATAATCTTATCTGGACACTTTCATACCTTTGCTGCAATGAGAATCCTGCATAGCTGTTAGATACTGTTGAGCAAATTCTTTCTCTCTTGGTTCATCTCCTGTAGATGGTGATCTTATTTCTTACCTTACCAGTGGTCCAAATGAACGCACTGAAGTAGTTGTAAAAACAGGAGTTGTGCACCATCTGCTGAAACTTCTAGGATCAAGTGAATTGTCCGTTCTGCCTCCCGTGCTACTAGCCATAGGGAATAATGTCACTGGAAAAGAAGAGACTCAGATTGTGAGAGATGCAGGATCATCTGCTGCTTTTCCCAGCCTGCTCATTCACCCCAAAACTAATCTTCAAAAGGAAGCTACATGGACAGAGTCAAACATCACAGTTGGCCAACAGGACCAGATACAGCAAGTTGTCCATCATGGATTAGTCCCTTTCCTTGTCAGTGTCCTAAGGCAGACTTTATGACTCAGAAGAAAGCTGTGTGGGCCGTGACCAACTACATGAACCATGGGGCAGTTGGCCAGGTTTATACTTTGTGCAGTCTAGTAAAATAGAACCATTGATAACTGCAAAAGATAGGAAAATTATTTTTGTTCTTCTGGATGCCATTTCAAATATTTTTCAGGCTGCTAGAATCTAGGCAAAACTGAGCAGCTTAGTGTAATGATCAAAGAATGCGGGCGTTTGGCAAGCTTGAAGGTCTACGAGACCGTGAGAATGAATCTGTGAATAAGGTCTCATTAAACTTGATTGAGAAGTATGTAGAGCAAGATCAAAATGTTGTGCCAGAAACTACCTCTGAAGGCTGCACTTTCCGGATTTAGGATTTGGCTCCTGGTACCTTTATCTTCTACGCATGCAGCTGAGGGACGCATCAATTTTTCTTGTGTCCTACGTTTGGCACAAGTTTGTCTGCTTCTCTACTGAGAACTCTTTTTTAAAATGTGATTTGTGTTTGTAGCACTTTTCACAATGAAACTATACTTGAACAGTTGCAAACTGTAAATATTATATGAAGGTTATCCTCTGAAGGGTTTCTTAGCACTATGTGGAATCTCATATCTTGCATTTTCCTGTGAATAAACCTTAACTTCCATTCTTTGCTTTACCATTCTAAAAAATTAAATCACTAAATTCAATTAGTAGGACAATCTATTCATTGGTGTCACCTGATATGTATTCTACTTTATGTAGCAGCTAAATTAGTGCCCTTAATCATGTGATTACATTGATAAGAAATCTTGAAACATAATGTATATGTCCTTACCATATCTTATAGACTACTAGTTATCTCCTAAATTAATGGGTATAGGCTATAAACCCAAAATTATTTCCCCACAGATGTGACTTCTTTGCATCTCCTGCTCTCCTTGCCTTCCTCTCCCCAACCTTTTCGCTGGAGACTAATCTCAAATAAATTCAGATCCCTGCACATGCTAAGCACGTACTCTACCTCTGAAATTCACCTTCAGCCCTTCTCTTATGTGTTAATGTACGTGGTAACCTCAAGAAGCAGGGCATTTTACACAAAACACTAAATGTGTTCCTTCCACATCGCAACAGGTGAAGTAAGAATTACAGAGTAGACTCAAGCAAGTTAAAGAAATCTAAGTAGTTCATTTCACAACTCTTTTGTGAAATGATATCTTTTGAAAAATAATTAGTAGAGTGTTGTTCTCCAAGGACGCAGTTGTATACATTTATTTATTTAATAAAAATTCATTCTATAACGGGTACTCATGATTTCATATCTGAATATTTCTGGAAATAGAATTTATGGACTGTTTAAGAGGTTTAGGCCTGCATCAGCTTTACTTGACACTGGTTCCTTCTATGAATTCATCTCCCTCCCTTTATTCATTTGGCCATCATAGTCATCCTCCTGACTATTGAGAGTGATTGATCTCTGGAACAGATGTGACCATGAGCCACTGTTCAAAGCACTGATGCGCAAACATCTCAAAGTTACCTTTAGGCTTGCATGATCTGACTTCTACTTCTGTATGTTCAGCCTTCTCATCTGTCTGCCCTCATTGATCTCAGGCATTCCTAAACAGCTAGTGATATTTTCCATTGTGATTCCTCTATTTTTAGATCAGTATCATTCCCATTTAATATTTTTTTCTCTTGCTGCTACCTTTCATACTCCCACAATTCCCTGCCTTGTGTCTGGCTAACCTCACTCTAATTCTAAGCTCATCATTACCTCTAGAAAAGCCATTCCCGATACCTTTTATTTATGCTCTCTAAACCCCAGTGCTTAGCACTTAGCAAGAATTCCATAAATAGTTTTTGAGTAAGATGAAGGAAGACTTGTATACAAAGAAGATTTAAAAGATTGTCCCATGCAATACAGGATCAAAAAGTTTAATAAGGAAGTAAGTTTGTTGTTTGTGTGGTAAAGATACAGTGGAAACATTGATGAAAGGGAGCCCCAAAGAAAGAAGCAGTTGTTTTATGTGGAGAAGGTAAACATAATCAAGAAATAATTCACATTATAAACTGAGTCTTAAAAGATTTTTTAAAATGTTGCCAGAAGAGTGGATGAAGACATTGCAGACATAAAGAAAAGGGTGTTCACTGATAAACATGTAAAGGTAATAGTAATTTACAGACCTTTAATAATAACATGCTGAGCTGTTTAAAAGTAGCCAAGATGTGTGGGAGAATAATGCATAGAGTGGATTTATATGTTTCTGTTGTATTTGAAATATTTCTGACTTCCATCTATGCTTAGGGAGTAAATTCATGATGAAGCTCTAAGAGGTCCCTATATCTTCAATATAGTGATATCTAATATCTTTCCAAATAATTTGTTAATTTGGGGATAATTACAAGTATTTCTATGTAAATATCCAAAAATTAGGATTAATTCAATTATTTAATTCTTAACTGGAAAATAAAAATAAATTTGTATTAGTTTTTCTATTTCATAAAAACTCACTTTTTATCTGTTCTAAGTAGTTTATTTTACATAAATATATAAATTTTTCAGAAGAACTGAACATAGAAGTGACATTAAAGGAAGATTTGAGAAGACGTGATGACAGTGAAAACAGCCAGGACCAGGTAAGTAAAAATGTAAATTTATATGCCTAGTTTAACATTGTTTTGTTTTCTTTAATAATATAGTATAAGCCAAATGAAATGACTTTTCTGACTCACATTTTAGAATCAGTAGTTTATGATTTAATATTTACTTTTGAAAATATTTCAGTCATGCCAAGGACGTGGCTCAGTGACACAAATGCCGGCCTGCATATACCCCTGAGTTTGATTCCTGAGACCCCCTCCAAAAGAAAAAACTTTTAACCAGTTATAAACAAGTTATTCTTAGAATCTATAGTAACTTATGTCTAAGTTTTAGATTTAAGGCAAAAGTGCTTCCATGTGTGCAATGTTCTTAAATGACGAAGAAAGGGAGTCCAGGTTCAAGCCCTTTTGTTAAGCAGCTCATGTTAGGGCCAGTGGAACAGTGATGACCACTGTTGGATGCACAACAAATGGTGATCATTCCCAGAGCCTCAGCAATGTAGTCCTGAGTCCTGTTAGAAAGGAAAGAGACAACATGGTAACTACTTTTAGGTCAGGATTATCTGGTGGTGAAACACTATTCTGCTTAAATGGTTATGTTTTGATCTGCGCTGTTTCATTGTTATGCCCTCTTTTATCTCAATCTCCACTCCATTATTTACTTTTTTATTTTTATCCTTTTAATTAAAGGAAAAAAATAGCAGGATATATTATAGTAACCCACTTTGACTTTCCATTACCTCAATTTAAAGCCCTGTATTACTCTCACCATCTGGTTTTTAACTGATGCTCCCCTATTCTGTTTTGCTGGATAGTGTCAGGTTCAAAAGTTTAGGCATCAGCTGTGAAGATAATGAGATTCATTATAACGCCCATTCTCTTTTATCTACTTTTGAAGACCCCCAATGTCTCCAATGTTTTGGTTTTGTCGGTTTTATTCTTTACTGTTTTGTTCAATTGTATTATAACTAACGATATAGGCAATTCTATTAGAGATAGCGGGAGGCATTATGGTAACCATTGTTGATCACCTTGTATTATGTTTTCACATTATCTATTATGTCCACCCTTTTGACTTGACCGATTCTGTTCTGTTATGTCACATTTGGTTTTACTCTCTTCCAAAAAAGTAATAAGAACCGTGGGAGCAATGAAACCCAAAATGTGTAATAGTCATTGTACAAAAGAGAGGAAAAGAAAGTGCTCTAAACTATATAACTGCATGTATATTTAAGTGTATAAGATAGAAAATGATATCACAGAGTTTTATTGGATCATTGAACAGAACTGTTTGCAGTATCATTGATGGAATGTCCACTTTACAAGCTTTAATTTTGTCACTTGAACAATTATTTCTAAGATGACAATATGTAATCCATTAACTAGTGATTTCCTACTGTTCATTTTTTTTCTGTAAATCTGTATAACTTGTGCCCTTTCTCTGCTTTTTTTTCTCCTTAAATAAAATTAAAAAAAAAGAATTGAATTGTACTTTCTAGTCTCTAGCTAACTCCATTGCCTACATTGAACGGTCATAAAGTCAACCCAGCTGCAGAGACTCATACCTTCCCAACTGAGACTTTGGTGTTAGGGTACAAACAATAATTTCTTACTTCAATGTAAGAAATCAGTAAGTACTTCATCCACTCTGTGTAGTAAACATTAGAATATATTAGAAGTGGATTTAACAAACGTAGTTCACATGGATGCGCAACACTTTTGTGGTATAAATTTGAATCACTCTGACTGGTGACCTTGTCTCTTAGTAATTTAAAGTCTACCTATACTCCAGTTAGTAAGCTTTAGAACAAAGGACTTTTTAATGAAGGATTCGCTGTTTAAAGGGTGACATTTTAGTTAAGTTTCTCATTGATAAGGCAAAATACCCAGCACCCAAAGTAAAATGAAGAAAGGTTTATTTAGCTCATGATTTGTAGAGATTTCAGTCAGTAATCTGTTGGGCCCAAGGTAGGGCTGCATGGCAGAGGGGCAAACATGCATGTTGCCAGAAGACATCAAATGCAGCAGAAGACCTGAATAGGGTCTTCACTTTTTATCTTATCCAGACTACTAGGATTAGGGTGATGCCAAACCAATCAGTGAATTGATGTAGCAGGCACACCCTTAATTCCAGTACCACAAACTAGATTCAGTGACCTCTGAAAAAGCTCTATGACTGCATGGGTCTTTGAGGGGACAGGTAGGCCCAAGCCATAACAAATGGTAAGATAAAATATCTTTATATGGGAACAGATTTATAATATTAAAGATCACTTAGTACATATTTTTAAATTTAGAACATAAGTTTAGTCTACACACAGATAAAGTAAAGGTGTTGGTTCATGTTTTTCTCTTTGTTTTAAGGTAAGGTAGATTATTTTTCAACCACTTTGTTGCAGTCCACTGAGGAAGAAGTAGCTATGTAAATTAAGTCATCAATGAGACAGGCTAAATTTTAATTTTCTACTTTCCCTTTTTCCAAACTTTGTGGTTTCTTAAGAAGAATATTATGTTAAAAATATGCTCCCCTGAAGAAAAGGCATCAGAGAATCAGACCAAGGAAACTAATCTTCCACTTCTACATTTGGAAAAAGTCTCTTAAGAATCAGAAACCATTATAGATTTTGAGAGATTGGATATATCTTTACACTTGGGAACTCATTATGTGAAAAAGTATAAGAAAAATTGATCAAAAGCCATATAACCATGTATCACTGTAATATATTTTCTTTAACTCTTTTGGGATGATGCCTGGAAAGAAAATAATTAGAACAAGTGGAATTTCTAATTTTAGTTTTTGAGGGATCCCCATACTGATTCCCATGGTGGTTATTCTAGTTTACATTCCACCAACCATGTAAAATGGTCTCTTTTTCCCACAACCTCTCCAGCATTTGCTGTTTTTGATTTCTTGATAACCATCCTTCCTGGAATAATCTGGAGTCTTACTGTTAATTTTTAATTTGGATTGCTTTAATGATCAGTGATTTTCAACAATTTTTCATGTACTTATTGACTACTTGTATTTCTTCTGAAAAGTAGACTCATTTCAGTTGCCCTTTTTAAAACTGAGTCTTTTATTGTGGGGGGTCTATTTTGCTGATTTTTTAAAAAGAGGGTAAAATTAAACATAACAAAACATCATAAGATAACAATATAAAAGACACAGATTGCAAAGCAAGACAACTGGAGATCTTCACTGTCTATCATTTTTTCTCTTGTTTTCTTCCAAATAGTTGTCCATATCGCCACATACAATGAATGCATACAAAACATAATCGTATAGAACTGATCAGAACAGGATGATGAAGGCATTTTAGGTCTTTAAGACCAGACAATAGGGAAGTCAACAATGGCTGCCATAACGTCTCTTACTCTCTTCAAAATAGCTGTCCATACTTTCATGTATGTTGAAATTAAACAAAACAAAACAGGCTAAAATCACTCTGACCAAAGAATAATAGTATTGCTGAATTTCACATCATGATGCTATGGAATCAGCACTGGTAACCTTAGTGTCTATTTCTTCAGAGTAGCTGTTCATCTCATCATGCATTATATTATCAACTCTCATGAACTTTTTAGAAGTTCTACACATGCATGAGTTTCTGCATGTATACCTGTCCTTTCTGTATTAGAGGGAAAAGCAAAACAAGACAAAACAAAACAAATTACTAGAAAAACCTGAAACAAAAAAGACATATAGACAACAATAGAAAGAGCCTAGAACACTGAAAATATAGGCCTTCAAAACAAGGTGGTAGGAGCATAACTAGGGTTGTTATTTTATGTAACGATCTTCAAGAGTTCCTCAGATAACTATTCAATAATATTCACAATTGTTCCAATCCTATGTGAGTTTGATTTATTTCACTTGTGAGTATGGTCTCAAGTTGCATCCATTTACTTATAAATATCTCAATGTGATCATTTTTTATAGCATAGTAGTACTCCTTTGTATAAAAATATCACATCTTTTTTATCCATTCCTCAGTTGATGGGCATTTAAGTTTTTCCAAGATCTGACTATTTCAAATTGTGCCTATAAACATGGCTGCACATGTATCACTGTGGCATGATGATTTCAGTTCTTCTGGGAATATGCCCACAAGTGGGATAGCTGGGTCAAATGGGATGTCCAATCCCAGCTTTTTGAGGAATCTCCAGATTGACCTCCATAGTGGTTGCACATCCCCACCAACAGTGCAGAAGTGTTCCTTTTTCCCTTCAGCCTCTCCAGCTTTTGTTGTTGGTAGTTTTGTTTATCCTGGCCATTCTTTCTGGAGTGAGATGAAACCTCAGTGTTGTTTTAATGTGCATTTCTCTAATGATCAATGATGCTGAATTCTTTCATGTATTTATTTGCCACTTGTATTTCTTCATCTGAGAAGTGTGTGTTCATCTCAGATGCCCATTTTTGGAATGGGTCTTTGAATTTGGGCATCTGATTTTTTAAATTCTTTATATATTCTAGACAGAAGTTCTTTGTCTGAGGGACCGTTCACTAAGATTTTTTTCCAATTTGTGGGTTTTCTTTTGGCTATGCTGGATATTTTTTTGACATGTAAAAATTCTTTAATAGGACGTGACCCCAGTTATTGATTCTGTGAAGCATTTCACATGCAGTTTGAGTCTTATTCATGAATTCTGTACCTACCCCTATGTATTCAAGATTTCTACCTACTTTGTTTTCCAACAAACTTACTGTTTCTGTCTTAAGATTTTTAGATCTTTCATGCATTTAGTTAGTTTAGTACACTGTGACAGGCATGGTTCTAGTTTTAGTTTTTGGCCTATGGAGAGCCAATTTTTCCAGCGCTATTCATTGAAGAAACTATCTTTCTTCCAGTGGACATGTTTGGCCCCCTTATCAAAGAAAAAGTGGCTGAGTGTGTTTGTTATTGTATCTTCTAATGTATTCTATTGATCTTTACATCTGTTTTTATTCCATACCATGCTGATTTTATTACAGTAGCTTTGTACTATAACTTCAAGTCAGGGATTGTGGTTCCTCCTGCCTTGCCTTTGTTGCTTAGAACTGCCTTTGCTATTCTGGGTCTCTTCTGGTTTCAGATGAATTTTAGGGGTGATTTCTCTAGACCTGTGAGGTATGCTAATGGTATTTTGATTGGGATTACATTAAAGTTATATAACACTTTTGGGAGAATGGCCATTTTCACAATGCTCGTTCTTCCTATCCATGAACAAGGGATGTCTTTCAATTTTCTGAGATTCCCTTCAATTTCTTTTTTAAGGGTATCATAGTTTTCCCTGGACAGATCTTTTGTCTCTTTTTTCAGATTAGATCGTAAGTATTTCATTTTGTTGTTGATATATATTGTAAAGGGTATGGCTTCTCTTATTTCTCTCAGTGGTTTTGTTGTTAGTGTATAGGAATGCTATTGATTTTTGAGTGTTGAATTTGTATCCATCTACTTTACTGAATTTATTTATTATACCTAGGAGTGTTTCAATGGAGTTTGGGGGTCGTCTGTGTAGAGTATCATGTCACCTGCAAATAATGATAATTTAACTTCCTCTTATCCTGTCTTTACTCCTTTTATTTCTCTCTCTTGTCCAATTGCTCTGGCTAGTATTTCCAGTACTGTGTTGAATAGGAGTGGTGGTAAGGGACATCCTTGTCTTGTGCCTAATTTTAAGGTAGAGGCTTTCATTTTCTGGCCATTTAATATGATGCTGGCTGTTGGTTTGTCATAGATAGCCTTTATCATATTGAGGTAAAAACCATCTATTCCCATTTTCTGTAAGGTTTTTTTTTTATGATGAATAAGTGTTGGACCTTATCAAAGTTTTTTTTGTATGTGTAGGAATGATCACGTGGTTCTTATTTTTGGCTCTATTGATATGGTGGATTAAATTTATTGATTTGTGTATGTTGAACATACACATTGTTCCTTGCATTCCTGGAATGCATTCCTGGGATGAACCCCACTTGGTCATGGTGTATAATAATCTTGATGATTTGGTGCATTCTGTTTGCCTAAATTTTATTGAGAATTTTTGCATCTATGTTCATTGGGGAGATTGGCCTATAATTCTCTTTCTTGGTTGGGTGTTTGGTATAAGGTTTTGGTATTAGAGTAATGTTTGCTTCCAGGAATGAGTTAGGGAGAATTATTCCCCTTTCAATTTCATCAAAGAGTTTGAGGAATGTCAGCATTAAATCTTCTTTGAATTTCTTGTAGAATTACACAGTGAATCTGTCTAGACCTGGGGTCTTCTTTGTTGGTAGGGATTTAATTACATTTTCAATTTCATTAATTGAAATTGTGTTATTCAGAAATTTTACATCTTATTGACCCAGCTTTGGTAATTCATGTATTTCTAGGAATCTCTCCATTTCTTCTGTGTAATCAAGCCTATGAGAGTAGAAGTTTTCAAAAGAGATTTTCTGTATTTTCACAGGGTCTGTTGTGATTTCATCTTTTTCATTCCTTATTACATGAATTTGAGTTTTTTCCTTACTTTTAATAAGGTTGGCTAGAGGCCTGTCAATTTTATTTATTCTTTCAAAGAACCAACTTTGTTATTCATTTATTCTTCATATTGTTTACTTAGTCTCTATTGCATTATTTTCTGCTCTGACCTTTATAATTTCCTCCCTTCTTTGGGCTTTAGAAGTGATTTCTGAATTACTTGGTTGTTTACATTTACTGCCACCATTTCATTGCTTTTTACTGGGCTATCTTCTTAGCTCCATTTTGGTCATTCATATGTGCCTAGAAATCTATTTTTTCTATAGTCTGACAATTTATTAAATAGAGGTTTTCAAAGTTGTTACTTTGAATCTAGGTTTTTTTCTTGCCAGTGTCCATGGTGATTTTGCAGGATAGAAAAGATTTAAGCATGAAATAGGCATGTTACAAGTAGATTTCTTGGCTTTGTAGAAAGGCACATTTAAGTAAACCTTGCTTGGTGGCACAAACCTGTTACCCAGCACTCTGGGAAGCCAAGGCAGGAAGATAGCAAGTTTGAGCCCAAAGGGAGCATCTTAACAGCTTAGAAAAACCCTGTCTCAGCATTGAAAATGTATATAACAGATACATCCCAGGGTTATACCCTCCTCACCTCTGCAAAATTTTGTGGTAACCATGGATGGTTATGGAATACACACTTGTATTCACAGCTCCTTAGGCTGAAGCAAGAGGACTCCCATTACAATCCCATCCTGGGCACCTTAGTAAGACCCTATCTCCTCTAGAAATAAAAAGGCCATCCTGGCTTATAGCTCAGTGGCAGAGCACTTGCAGAACATAGAAGAGTAGTTTACACAGTGCTAGTCGGTTTTGCTCTTTACTAGTTACATTCTGGTTTCCACTTGTGAAGAGTTCACATATAAAATGAGGTTATCTAAATATGAAAATATGTCCAGAAAGAGTTCATTTCTACTATCTAAATAGTGGGAATTTGGGAAACCATTCTTGTGATCCTTGTTCCTTCATCAGCGTTTTTCTGAGTCTCCCAAGTTGCATGTAACCTGGGACAGTATTAGTGCCCTTACCTTGTGACCTGAACCAAGATAAACACAGAGCAAGTTGCTTGCAAAAACTAACATCTGAAGTTTTATTTGTCTATTACTTTAGTGATAAATTGCATTTGCTATGTTTACACCATAAAAGAAGTTGAAATGCAACAGAAGCAATGAGTGAGATTTAAAAGTCTATCTATGTTTGAGATTTGCTGTGAATCTTCCTAGTCAAATGAGTCCATTTTTCTACTGTCATGTGTGCAAATTTACCTTTTTACTCAAATCACTCATGGACTGTGTAATTCCAAGATGACCACCTATTTCCACATATTTATTATTACTGCTCTTAAATTTTATTTCTGAATAATCACACTTGTAATTTATTGGCTTGATTTTTTTGAGTTCACCTGGTAATCTGTCCATTCCTGCATTATACAATTGTATTCTCTATTGGTGTCATGAGGTGCAGGAAATGCCACTGAGAAGCTTTGCAGGAATCATTTAATCTGAATTACTTCTGATTCCCTGTGTTTGTTGTGTTGGCTTAAGTATATATTTCAGTGAGTACCTACAACTGTCTTGAAATCCCAGTTAGAGTATCCAAATGGAAAAAGAATTGTGAAAGGCAAGGGAAAGAATACCTTGATCCTGAAATTGTAAGAGTCTTTTGTTCCAGAAAGCCCTACAGTAACACATTCTCTAAACAAAAGACCCACTATGCCTTTGACTTTTTATTTCTACCAATAATACAGGGGATGAAAATGTTGGATAGCAAGGTGAGTGAAAATAAAACCTAGTGCTTTTCAAAATTTGGAAAGTTCTGTTTCTTTCACTCAAACAAAAATGGAGCAGAATGTGCAAAAATTTCATTGACCTGTAATGATAAGGTAGACACAAAAATATTGTTTATGCCTCAGCGTGGTGGCACATTCCTGTACTCCCAATACCCTGGAAGGCTGAGGCAGGAAGATCACATGTTTGATTCCAGCCTTGGTGACATGATCCCAGTGGTGTCCTGTCAGAAAATTTAATATAAAGGGTGGAGGATATAATTCAGGGTGAAGGTCCTGGCTTCAATCACCAGTGCTGCAGAAAAAAATACATGTCTTTCTGGACTGAAATAATGACAGCTGAACTGAGTCAAGTGATATAAAGAACAAAATATTTAATAAAGTCAGTGAGTGAAAAGTAAGTTTTCCTTTACATCAAACTTTCTTTAAAGGTTGAAGGAAAAAGAAAGAGTGGAAAAACTGACACCCAGCAGTTGCCTACTGAGAAGAAAGAAGAACATGATAGGTAAGACTATGGAAATATTTGACCATAAATAGTTACTGTTCTGTACAACAAAATCTAACGTGAGCCTGTATTTGTGATTAAGAAGTTATTTGCTTTTACTAGAGATACTCAGCTTTGAATGACTGTCAGAAAAATACAGACAATTTAGATATCATTTTTCCAATTATCTTGAGAAATGTTTTTTAAACATTTGGATGAATTAGCCAGTCTGAGGAAACAGACATCATTATGTACTGTTAGTAAGTGAAATTATTAAGTGCATTTGAACAATTTAATAGCATTAATTAAATCTCAATGATTTCATTGTTTTAATCTAATGCCTTCTCTTATGAAACTGAATCCTTCTTGGAAAGGAATACAAGATCCATGATCACACACATGTACATAGCTATTAAAGACATTTAATGTACATATCCTCTAGGCTAAAATTGGTGAGTGTATATACTTCATATACATAATATGAGCATTAAGCTGGTATAACAGGTTGGTAATAATTATGTAAATGTGTTACCTATATACATTCATATGTTGAAGGATTAACTATTAACATTCTCATAAAGTGTGAGATAGTCTAGATGCTTAGCAGTAAGGAAATAATTGAATTGCTATATCCATAAAATAATATAGCATGGAGCCTTTAGATAATATTCATTGTGATTATTTCACAAAATATTTTTAAAGCATTGTTTAATAATACGTCTTCAGCAAATTTGCTGTAATACTTGTTATATGTGCTAAGTTGCCAAAGAAAGTTGCAGGCTGCACTGAAGATCTTATTACCAAGAAATTTGGTAGCTGTTAGACTTTTGCTTTTTCTCAGGATATAAGTACTATAATCTGGACCTTCATGTTCATCTGAATATTGCCAAAGGATTGCATGAGGATCCATGATTGATTAGTTTTCAGTATATTAGGTAAAAATCCTTTAAAATGTCACCAAAGGGTCTTTTAGTAGTAAATCAAGAATTAACTTTTTTCTGCAAAGATCAAGTAGTAGATATTTTAGGCTTCATGGCATGAAATCTCTTTTGTGGTCATCTAGAATCTGAGGTAGACAACAAATGAATGTCTGTGGCTACATTTCAGCAAAATTGATCTACAGAGCTGAGGGATAGTTCTGTATTAGAGCGCTTGCCTAACTCACAAGAGGCCTTGGGATTCGTCTCCAGCACTGCCAATAAAGAAGAATTTATTTTAAAGTTAGATGATAGACTGGAATTGCTCCACTGACAATGATTCACTAAACCTTAATGCTAAACCCTAGTTTGCTGCTAATGTACTAAGCCAGTCTTTTAAAGTTTCCCACGTGTACATCATTGTCTCATTTTTACAGATAATGCACTCCACTGTATTTTTCAGCAGTGAATATAGAAAACTTACAAAATTCAATTTATAAATTAAAGTTACTTTATTTCCCTTCCTCATACATATTTTATGTTTTTCCTGTCTTATTTGTTGTTGTGGAGTGTATACTTTACTGTCGTCCATAGAATTTGTGTGTATTTACTACAATATCACCAGTGCATACAAAAAGGTGTAGCACACAGTGAGTAGCTAGTCAGTAATTTACTCAGTGTGAGTAGAGTTTACTCCTTGTGTATTATTTTAAACAGTAGGCTAATTTGTCACTTACAAAAGTTTGACTTAGGAAGCTGAGGCAGAAGGATTGCAAAAGCGAATCCTGCTTAAGAAGCTGAGCAGGTCCTTGCCTCAAAATAGAAAGGGACTGGGGGTAGCGCTCAGTGTTAGGACACTCTTGATTCAACCTCCTGTACTAGAAAAAAGGGTTCAGGAAGAAAATTCATTCTGAAAGTTTTAGTTTTTACTCTACATTAATATTTTTTTCATTTAGGAAGAAATTTTGAATATTGTGATTCTTCATTCTTTTAGGGTAGTTTCACTTACAGTACAGTGGATTAAAAGAATTGCAGGCTTCATTTGTAGTTTATTAAGAAAAATAAAACACAAAGATATTAAATTTAATAGGCTTCAAAAAATATGGCCAAAGGACTAAAACTTTCTAAACTGAAATTAAAAGACAAAATTGGAATGTACTGTGTTGCTTCCTCTGGAAAGAGAGAGCTATGCTGGTTGGGCATGGTGTTGTTATAACACAGGTGCCTGAGTGCTACCTCAGTTCTTGATCTTGATTTTTTTCTGTGATTCTGGTTGCAAACTGAGTTGAGTCAGAACCAAATAAAAGTTAGTGGTTGAGCTGGGCATGGTGGCACACACCTGCAATCCAGCAAGTTTGACTTGGGATGCTGAGACACGAGGCTTGCTGTGAGTTTGAGGCTTGTCTTGGCTACATAAATGAGTTCTAGGCCAGCCTGTACCTCATGGTAAGATGCTGTCTCTAAAATTTTTTTGTTCTGTGGGTAGGTTCAGTGTTGATCTTAATTGGTTTAGATTTGATTTAGTTCTTGTCCAGTTTGTTTTGCCATCAGGATTGTGGAGACAATTGAGTTTGTGAACCCAGGTACCATTGTATATGATTTTGCAAAGAGTAGAATTTAAAAACTGGCCAAACTTCAGAAGGAAAGTGATTTTCCATCTGTAGCTATATTAGTGTGCCTTGCAGGAAGCAAAGTGTTAGCATTAAGTGGTTGTTTGGTTGGATGCTTGGTTGTTTGGTGGGTGAAGCCAGTGACAGTTGACTGAATCAACACGGGGTTGCCACAACTCCAGTCAGTCCTTTCGTAGGCTTGGACTAATTTCAACCCAATGCTTTGTTTAAAAATTATTTTTCATCTACTGCTTAAAATGAACAATTTCATACTCTAGAGTTGTAACCTTGTTTTTGAATTGAGTTGCTTAAATGACTTTTTATTTTTAAAGCAGTGGACCCAACGTGCCTTTGAGGAAAGTAAAGAATAAACATAAACAGCAGCACTCCACAGAATCTGTGACTTCCTTAGTGTCTAACAAGGCCCGTTTCCTGTTTGCTAGTCTCCAACAAGTGATGTGTATTTAAAGATTACAAGACACTGTCAAAGATGGAGGAAGTTAAAACCTCTGTAAATGTTTTATTTTCCTTTAACGGAATGTTAGCAGGAATTGCTTTTCTAGAAATAAAACAGAACAGTGTAGTCTACAGGGAAAGCAAGAGGATACCCAGCCTCATCATTGCTGCAGAAAGATTGGCTAAGAGAAGCACAAATGAATTTGACAAAGAGCAGTTTCAACACTGGTCACACAGGAAGCTGACTACTGGGGACGATCGGACAACACTAGACACCTTTCACTGGGAAAGTTAGGGAAGCAGGTGTTCTGAGCAAGAATGCAGCATTTAAGAGTTGTTTTCTTAAGATTTTAGAGTGTATGCATACACCACTAGAAACCATCAGTAGAGAAAGATATGTTTATTCATTTTAATTTTTAAGAATATTTGTAAAACTCAGAAATTATGTGATTATAACTGACAATGGATGCTGATATGGATTAACACAATCACAGTGGAGCCACACTTGCATGCCTTTCAGTGCTGCCCAGCAGGATAGTCATGCCTGTGCCATCAGTGTTTGAAGCTATGGGAAATGTCAATGTGGTCTTAACATCACTTAACACTAAATGCTTAAAGGTAGTTATTTCATAACATAAGGTATACTCCCACGATGTCACAGTTCAGAGTTCTCAGCCTCACTCTTTGACTGAGTTTTAGTTGGATCCTGACATTTTTTCACAGAACTCCCCACAGTTGCATGGCAACCACAGGGATCCTCCACAAGGAGTTTTTGGCAGGAGGTTTGCGAGTAATGCATTCACACGTTACTCAGTTCTTCTGGCTTTGGAGTGCTTGCTGCCTTGTAACCCATCTCTGCATTGTAACAGGTTGATGCACTGCATGCGGCTGTCTCCATTGTTGTCAGTTGTGTTCTTAAAAACCCTAAGATCCCAATGATGCTGCCAAAATGCCCCACACTAAGGTTTCATCAATACAATATTTTATTAAATTACATAATTCCAGAAGTCATAGCATATTTATAGAGTTTAAACTATAAAAAAGGCATTGATAAGCATTTTTATGATCATATCTGAAATTTGCAGTCTTTCGCAATTGCAAGTGCTCTAGGAACAGTACTGTGCATTTAGGGGATCCACTGTACTGTGGAACATTCCTGGGTTTAAATTCTTACTGTCTGTACTTGCGCCTGTGCAAGGTACTTGTTATATCTTCACCTACCTTAGTGATGTATAAAATAAGATGTTACCTCTCAGAATTGTGTTTGACACACACACACACACACACACACACACACACACTTCAAGTAGGTGTGCCCTTTGGAAGAGATTAAAGTGAAAGATATAAAATATAACAGATAGGAAGGAAAAATATTTGAAAGCCAAACAAAACCCTGAAAGTGATACAGAACTTTAAAACAAGATAATAGGGAATTAACAGTGGCTTTCACCTTTAGAAGGAACTCTCCCATAGCTGCTATACTGCATATTATTTTCCACCAAGTAAATGCTCAGAGCACTGGGCTAGGCCTGCAAAGTGAAATGCTAAACACTACAGGCTTAAGTTGTTTTTCTTCCTGCCTCAGTAGCTATTATCCCAGCCTGTATGTCTGTGATCAGCTGGTTGCTTGCAGGGGTTGGGAGGGGCTCAGCTCTTATCTCCCAGCCCAACTGCTGGCTCACAGGAAGCCATTGGCTACATATTTCTACTTCCCTTGGCCTGTGACTGTCACTGACTCAGAGGAAGGGGTTGGCTTCTTGATCCACTTAAAAAATACATTTTAAATAAGCTGGTTTCACTTCAGACTTGTCTTAAAAGAAGAGGACAAGAAAAAAAGTCTTGAGGAAAAATGTTTGCAAGAAGTTGAAACAAAACAACAGCTTGAAATTTCTTATGCAACACTTGAAATGGAATTCAAAGCTTCAGAAGTGAATCAGGTAAATTAATCTTTGATGAAAATTTTATATTGCTGTTGTATCAGCATTGTAGTATTTCTTTGATTGCATATTTACTCATGCATTGCTTACATTGAGAATATGATCCAAAGCATGTGTGGTTTGTTATTTTCATTATTATCCAAATGTAAGCAGGTGGCCACCCACACTTACATCTCCCACATCACTGGGTGATATCGTTTCAAGGACCATAGTTGAGCATGCAGTCCAGTGTTGAACAAAACATTCTTATACATCACACGTCCCTATTATGTGGGTTGAAAACAAAATGTTAAATCACCCTCAGAAAACCTCACATATACAGCTAACTGTATTTATTATAAATGTTGACATCTAATAGCTCAGTTTGTTTACTGAATAAAGAAATGAAAGGAGTTTAATCATGAACACAAGTGTCAATTTGAGTATTCTTATGATTTAGCTAACTTTGAAGCTAGTGAAGTGTTTCTTAATGAAATTTTATTTTATACCATTCGTGCCTATATTTAATAAATGCTTTCACTCTTTAACAAATTTTAGGTTTCATTTATGCAATTTAATATTCACAGCCTTGCATGTTGGCACTCACCTGTAATCGCAGTCCTGGGAGGCTGAGACAGGGTGAGTGCTATGAGTGCTAGGCCAGGTGGCATGAAATAGCAAGACTGTGGCTCAAAAAACTATTAAGGACTTAATTATACTATAACCGATAATTTCTTTGAAACATTGACATAATAGCATTGACAATACTTTAAGAAATACAAAATTGAAAGTACGCAATCTAATGGAGAATTTCATGTCAACTGATCATATTTTCCTTACCATGAAAAAGTGGAGTTTTGCCCTCATCACATAGCTATGCGCAGGATTCACAGACCAGCATTTGACCAACCTAAAAGCTCTTGTGAAGTACCATACCACACCGTTCATTTGAACATCAGACTGCTTTCTGAAGAGGCCTAGCAGTTGCTACAAATGAATTGATTTGAGGACCTTTATTTAGCAGCAGGGCCCAATAGTCTCAGCTCAGTGGGTTAGCCTCCTCTCATGGGCATGTTATGTACATACTGCTTAACCCAGGAAGCACTGTTTGCGTGATCGTTGCCCACTGGGCACTGCTATGTGAGAATAAGCTGTGAGTTGTTACAAATGAAGTGCCACTGACTACTTGAGCTAACTGATGAGTCTCAAGGGACTGCAGGGATGTCTTTTGGGCTGCATACCCTGCATTTATTGCCACCTTCATCATGAGTGACCAGTTCAGCTTGCACAAAAAGCCTGTCCGATTGTCCACCACCTGCCAAAAACATCACATTTTGCTTTGTCTCCCCTGAGGTCAGCTGAGGAGGCCCCTTGGAGCAGGAAAGTATCTCCCTTTTTCCTTCCTCCTGTTCACCTGTGCCTTTCTCACTACAGCCCAGTACAGAGCCCTGGGCCATTCTGAAAACTCCAGTATTTCCTCTTCACCTTCCAGACAGTTCTGGCACTGGTGAATGAACCCAGGGTACTCCACAGAGCTTCATCCATGGGCCATATTTGTTTCTTTCTGAAGAGGGCCTCTCTAAGTTGCCCTGGGCTCAAATGAACTAGCCTCATACATGAGCCAACCCTATTGCTAGGACTATAGACATGTGCCACTATACCTGGATTAATTAATTTCTTTTGGGTTATTGGAGACAGGGTTTCGCTGCGTAACCCAGGCTGGCCTTGAATTTACTGTGCCTCTCCAAGGTGGTCTCGTGGTTACAGTAACCCTGTTGACTCAGCCTCCTGAGTGACAGAATCACAGCTGTGTGACACGAAGCCCAGCTTCTGATTTAAATTTTGAGAGATCTTCTGACTAAATTATCAAGACTGCACTTGACCTGAGGAAACTTTTGCCTCAGCTTTCCTACAATATCAAACTGTATCAAAACAGAAAACACAGTAATACCTAATAGGAAAGATTTTATAGAGCTCCCACTGCTGGTGACTGGTGGAGTTGGAACTCTGGCCCAGGCATGCTGGTGTCTGTCTAGATACTGTTTCTGCAAGAGTTCCTGGAGACATCTAGATGTTACTGCAGTGTCATTTCTGCATTATTATCATTGGCATTGCTCTTAGTCATATAAGCATTATTCATATCATAGTTGATAAATAGTACTTGGAATCCATAAAGTAGGATGTAATGCGTGGAATGTAAAAATACAACTAAAAGGACAGCACAAGTAAAGGGACTTCCTCTTTCTCTCCATTTTACCAAAACTTTCACTTTTATAGTTTCCTGCAAAAGAGTTGTCTCCCCCAGTTGCCCAGGCTGGTCTCAAGCATCAGCTTACCAAGCAGCCAGGAATGCAGTTCCATAGCACTGTGCTAACCTTCTAGTTTTGTCAGTTTGAGGACCTGCTAACAGGCCTAAAATCAGGAATGTAATATGTTTGAGACCTAGAGCTGGGGTCGGTAACTTAAGTAGTGGGGAGAGTGTGTTATTTTGTAAGGTGTGGGCCATTGGATCCCTGCTTCAGCAGTTCAGCTAACGGTGTAGACACAGCACAGAGGTAACTATAAACCATACGGAGGTGGAGCATTATAGCTGTGTCCACTACAGTTATGAAACAAACACCAGGGATGGGCAGGTTATTAATAAACATTTTTGTTAATTTTCACTTGACAGAAGCACAAGATCAAGGTACAAGCTCTGTGCAACATGATGAAAAAATGGAAGAACCCTTAGACAGGTATGGCTTAACCAAATGACTTGAGCATCTCTAAAGGAAATCAGCAGCATAATATGAGACATATTGCAGTTATATAAGTACTAAATCTTCATTAGGCCAGGGGAAAATTCTAGCTTTGATAAATGTACCTGAAAGGAGTAATTTAGGGGAGCAGAAATAGTACAATGAGGAGAGAGCATGTGCTTTCCACGTGGAGCCCTGTGTTCACTCCCAATAATGCAAAAGAAAAATCATCAACAAGCACAATGAGAAAAATCTTACTTGCCAAGTCATCTACTTTTTCTAACTTTTAAAATTGTGAGTAGTCTTTCAAAGATTATGTGACTTTTTAAACAGATCTTTGCAAACACTCACATTGGAGAATTTCAGCCTGAAAAAGAAAATTCAAAAGCTAAGGGGTAAACTTGAACGAGCTCAGAAACACTTGTTGAGCATGAAATTGGTAAGGGCATTTCTTTTTAATTTCTATTGTTCTAGAAAGCAGTTCCTCCTCTGCTAGTATGTAGGAATATTTTAGGCACTATAAAAATCTTACTGATAAAAACACTTGTTGTAATCGTATTGATACCTCCTTACTAGCAGTAGTGAAGTCCTCTTACCTTTATGGAAGATAAATGATTTCATGCAATTCATGACTTTGGCAGTGATATTTTAATACAAAAGATTTTTATAGCCTAAAATCCCTATTTTACACATACCACATTTGTTTATCCATTATCCATTGAAGGATTTGAGAGTTATTCCCACACTTCTTTGGGAATAATGCTGATCTGGACATTGATATATTACTGTGTGTCATGAGTCTCAGCTAATATGATGCAGTAACTTTTCAAATTCCAGGAAATTGAATTGCTGAATCTAAGACTTTGAATATCTGTTGCAATGAAAGCTTTTCCATGATATTTTGTAATTTATATGGTCACCAAGAATGGATAGTAGGGCACTACATAAGCATTTTCCCCAGAGACACTGTATTTTTCTTTAACTGTAAGCAAGGAAAAAAATGCCAGTAACAAAGTAGAAATGGATATTTGTCTTACTGAGGAACTAGTGGTCCTAGCATTGCAGTTTCATGATTTTTCCCCATTGATTAGTGTTTATCAGCCATTTAAACTTGTCCAGTCTAAGAGTAACGCATAAGACTGGGTGACAGTTTGTTGATGTGTAATGAAAACCATGTACCTCTTGACCAGGCAGAGCAGATTCTCCTGTGGCCCGTGTTCTCCTGTGTGGGAATTAGGACCACAAGGACACATTGTGTGCATGGAAGTGGAGATGTGAGGTGGCTCCTTCCACTGACTGATTTCTTAAAGTCACAGCAATTTGATCCATCGAGGTCCATTACACAGATGCTTGTTGCTATGTCTCCTGCCTACCTGTCCCCCAAACTCTCATGGAGCTATAGATGGGTGTTTTTCATAGGTGACTAGATCTGTAGAATATGATGTTGGGATTCAGGATATGTGATTACCAAGTTGGTCCACCGGTTGGTTTGGCATAGTTCTGGGATCAAGAATGTGATGTTAAGATTAAGGGTATGAGTGCTACCTGCCCTAAAGGTGAGTACCTGGATAAGATGTAGGGACAGAAAAAAGCTTGATCCTGCTGGTGCTGCTGCTGCTCCTGCTTGTCTTCTGGTCTGTGATGCCCCTCTGCAATGCCTCCCTGTTCTGGAGCCAGCCTACTATGAACTGAAACCTCTATAAACTGTGAGTTCTGAGCCTTTCCTCTCTTAACTTGTGAGTCTGGGTATTTTGTCTCAACAACAAGAAAAGACTTGTTATAAGGGAGCTACAGAATTCTGGCTAGTGTTTTCTCTGAAGAAATATGGAGAAATAATTTTTTCTAGAATTCAAATAAATTAGTCCTGTTGTTGTACTATACTTTTCATACACATAACATGCTGACATGTTGATAAGGTGTCATTTGTGAATTAAAATGCCAGGGGCCATCATCTTACTTTAAGTGTCATATACAAATGTATTGAGATGTTGAAAAATTGATAGTGGTACCATATATAACTGGAAAATATTTAAAAAAGCAATATGAACCCATAGGAAAGCAACAGTATAAAAGAAATACAGGGTGACTTATGCTGGGTGGTATTCTAACAGTGAGGCCATCAGCCCCATGTTAGAAGATCACAAAATTCAGATTGAAACCCATGTGACTCACTATGCAATGTGTAGGACTCAGTGCAGAAGGAATCCATACTAAATAATGGCTGATGAAGTTTTGTCCTGGGAGAAGTAAACTAAAAGGAAGAAGGGAAAGTGTAAATGACCCCTGTCTAGAGGCTGCATCTGGAAATGGGGATTAGGTTATCAGAGTCAAAGGCTCGGATTTAGGACCTGAGGGAATCTGAACTGTAGTGGACATAAGCCTTAAGCAGTTGCCTTTAGGAGCACAGTGGAGCTCGGAGTGGAGAGAAGTGGAGAGAAGTCACTGTGAGCAGAAGCTCTGAGCAGTGGGCAGGATGAGAACTCCAGAAACAAGTGTCTTCGGTGACTTTCACATTACTTTATTGGAAATACAGGATGAAAATCAGATTTTAATGTCCTCCAGTGATGAAAAATTAGATTTGCACATGAGACTATGTATCAGAAATGTAAGAGTCCTTTGGAGGGCAAGAAACAAGATGATAGAAAAGCCATAAGAACCATGTAGAAGTGAGGCTTCTGCACATTACAAAAAAGAGAAACTGAAAAGACAATTGTTTAATAGCAGAAAAAATAATTCTGGGCTGGGCACATAGCTCAGTGGCACAGCGCCTGTCTAGCCAGCAAGGGATTCAGGTTTTGGTTCTTGAGTACAAAACAAAATTCCTGAGAGGATGCTTAGAGAGAATAAACATCTATCTCATTCCAAAGTCGAGTGAGGTTCGAAACTGGGATGAAATCGAGGTTTCCAGAATTTGTCTTGATAAAATATGTTTTAAATAACCCTGGAATATGTTGAGCTATTGAGGGAAAGACCTCTAGAATATCTTTAGAAAGTGAAATGGAAATACAATTCTTTTCATATATTTTTCATCAATGCTTATGTGTAAAACTTTCTTTTTTAACAAAGTTTGGCAGCACACACTTCATAAACCGTCATGATGAAAACAAAATGATGAAAGCACAAGTTAACTTGAGCTGTGTTCAGAGAAGCTGCTGTTTTCAAGTCTGTTCTTACTGGCGTCAGTTTTATACTTTGCGTTTGCACATTCATGAGCACATGTGAAGTAATATTGTTAAGGAATGAATCTTTAGAGTTTTAGAAATTAATTATAAATTCTTTTTCAAAGTCTGAAAATGAGAAAGAACAGTTCATGAAATTCCCTGAGGGTTTTCAAAATGTGATGTATGCTTTGGACCAAGAAAAGAAGAAAATTCATGAGCTGGAATGTGCTTTGGGTCAAGAAAAGAAAAATCATGAGCTGTAATGTGCTTTGGGTCAAGTCAAGAAGAAAATTCGTGAGCTGGAATGTGCTTCGGGTCAAGTCAAGAAGAAAATTCATGAGCTGTAATGTGCTTTGGGTCCAGTCAAGTCAAGAAGAAAATTCATGAGCTGGAATGTGCTTCGGGTCAAGACAAGAAGAAAATTCATGAGCTGGAATGTGCTTCGGGTCAAGTCAAGAAGAAAATTCATGAGCTGGAATGTGCTTCGGGTCAAGTCAAGAAGAAAATTCATGAGCTGGAATGTGCTTCGGGTCAAGTGAAGAAGAAAATTCATGAGCTGCAATGTGCTTCGGTTCAAGTCAAGAAGAAAATTCATGAGCTGGAATGTGCTTCGGGTCAAGTCAAGAAGAAAATTCATGAGCTGGAATGTGCTTCGGGTCAAGTCAAGAAGAAAATTCATGAGCTGGAATGTGCTTCTGGTCAAGACAAGAAGAAAATTCATGAGCTGGAATGTGCTTCGGGTCAAGAGAAGAAGAAATTTCAGGAGCTGGAATGTGCTTCGGGTGAAGACAAGAAGAAAATTCATGAGCTGGAATGTGCTTTTCGGGTCAAGTCAAGAAGAAAATTCATGAGCTGGAATGTGCTTCGGGTCAAGTCAAGAAGAAAATTCATGAGCTGGAATGTGCTTCGGGTGAAGACAAGAAGAAAATTCATGAGCTGGAATGTGCTTCGGGTCAAGACAAGCAGAAAATTCATGAGCTGGAATGTGCTTCGGGTCAAGTCAAGAAGAAAATTCATGAGCTGCAATGTGCTTCGGTTCAAGTCAAGAAGAAAATTCATGAGCTGGAATGTGCTTCGGGTCAAGTCAAGAAGAAAATTCATGAGCTGGAATGTGCTTCGGGTCAAGTCAAGAAGAAAATTCATGAGCTGGAATGTGCTTCGGGTCAAGACAAGAAGAAATTTCAGGAGCTGGAATGTGCTTCGGGTCAAGTCAAGAAGAAAATTCATGAGCTGGAATGTGCTTCGGGTCAAGTCAAGAAGAAAATTCATGAGCTGGAATGTGCTTCGGGTCAAGACAAGCAGAAAATTCATGAGCTGGAATGTGCTTCGGGTCAAGTCAAGAAGAAAATTCATGAGCTGGAATGTGCTTCGGGTCAAGACAAGAAGAAAACTCATGAGCTGGAATGTGCTTCGGGTCAAGTCAAGAAGAAAATTCATGAGCTGGAATGTGCTTCGGGTCAAGTCAAGAAGAAAACTCATGAGCTGGGATGTGCTTCGGGTCAAGACAAGAAGAAAATTCATGAGCTGGAATGTGCTTCGGGTCAAGACAAGAAGAAATTTCAGGAGCTGGAATGTGCTTCGGGTCAAGACAAGAAGAAAATTCATGAGCTGGAATGTGCTTCGGGTCAAGTCAAGAAAATTCATGAGCTGGAATGTGCTTCGGGTCAAGTCAAGAAGAAAATTCATGAGCTGGAATGTGCTTCGGGTCAAGTCAAGAAGAAAATTCATGAGCTGGAATGTGCTTCAGGTCAAGTCAAGAAGAAAATTCATGAGCTGGAATGTGCTTCGGGTCAAGTCAAGAAGAAAATTCATGAGCTGGAATGTGCTTCGGGTCAA